TCAGAATATCAAAGAATTTGAAACCATATTTTTAATTTAATAATACTTAAAAATAACCAGTGATTATGATTTAAGCAAATGTGATTTGAATGTTATTTTTCTATTTTGTGTATTTCAATTTAGTTTCTATACAGATGAATACATTTCAAATTTGTCCACTGTTTTCATTCTCAAATATTTCAAGTATTTTTCTAAATATAGAATAGCTTTAGGAGCATTTAGTTTATTGAGATAATGCTCATCTTTACTCTGCATATTGTTTTTGACTATGTTACATATTATCTGTGTCATTTAGTAGTCAAGTTGTGAATAAAAGAGCTGTCTCTAAGAAGATGAGAATTTTTTATGTTATTTTATTTTTTCTTTACATTGTCAGAGTGCCCAGAAATTTGCCTTACATTTGTTTGCCGTTCTAATAACACATTACTTGCTTATCACAAGCCCAAGAATTGTTTGGGATTGCTTCCTGTTTTCTCTATTATTATAGTAACATTTTTTTTTCAACTTGAAAGTCTTTCCTTTTAATTGAAATGTAGTTGGCTTATACTGTTATGTTGTACAGCATTATGAGAGAAGGGAACAGCAACGCACTCCAGTATTTTTACCTGATAAATACCATGAGGAAGGGGCCTGGTGGGCTGCAGTCCATGAGATCACAAAGAGCTGGACACAACTGAGCAACTGAGCACGTAAGGCATGTGTGCTTGTATGTGTATATGTGTGTGCGTATGTGCTTTTTCAGATACTTTCCCCTTGTAGATTATTATAATATATTGCATATAGTTCTCTGTGCTATACAGTAGGTCCTTGTTGGTCACCTATTTTAGATTTAGCAGTGTGTATATGTTAATTCCAAACTGCTAATTTATCCCTCTCCTCCCTCCTTTTCCCTTTAGTAATAATAAGTTGGTTTTCTCTTTGTGTGTATGTCTGTTCCATAGAAAAATTCATTTGTGTCACCTTTTTAGATTTCACATATAAATAATATCATATGATATTTGTCCTTGTCTGGCTTACTATACTTAGTATAATAATCTCTAGGTCCATCCATGTTGCTGCAAATGACATTATTCCATTCTTTTTTACAGCTGAGTAATATTCCACCGTATATATAGAATGCATCTTCTTTATCAAGTCATTGGTCAGTGGACATTTAAGTTGCCTCCATGTTGTGGCTACTCTAATTGGTACCACAATGAACTCAACTAAAGTTTCGCATTGTGCCTTGAGAACTGGACTTGCATGTTTGCTTATATGAAGAATACAATGCTTCATATAAAAAGAGAGGTCCAGCACACACTGCATACATAGGGCACAAATAGCACATATTCTGCTCAAGTGACCTGGCAGAAATCTCATAGATACTTTCTAGCTGACTTAAAGAGAAACTAAGAGATCATTTAGTCTACGCAGAAATAGCAGTAGTTTGTATTTACATAAAGATGCCCCATGTCCCCGGTATTTTTCCAGGTTCATATCCAAAATTTCTGCTCCTCAAGAGACTCATTTTTAGCAAGAGGGAAGCAGAGGCATAGGCATGCAATGGTACCAACCCACTGAATACATTGGAATAGGTCTTGGGCTTTCATTGAATTCAGAAACATTCTTATTAATCCAGCCAGTGTGTGTTTGCATTCAAGCAATTAGATACATTGTCAGAGAATATAGAATAATAACAGATACCTAAGAAGTGATCACAGAGTTATACAAGGGAGTAAAAAAAGACAAAGAAGTTGCAAAACTGGGCAACAGTTTGAGGGGGTAGGGGGCTGGTCACCTCTGGTGCAAAGATCCAAATCTCAGGTCTAGTCCGCTGCATTTCAGTTATTAATAGTCACTCATCCTTATTCTCAAGTAAGTTTCTTGTCTCAGAATCACTTTCCTTCACTATAAAATGAAGAAGTTAATAAATACTGGTTCTGAGTGTTAAATAACTGTTTATAAAATTTAATATGGTTCCTGTTTATAAAAATGCAACTCAATAAAATATTTCTTTGCCTTTTAATTCAATTTTTTTTCCCATTGTGTCTGAAGTAAAGCTGATTACACAGTGTCCCTGATAATAATGACCTTCCCATCACACACACACACACACACACACACACACAATTGACAAAAGCTCCACAGAGATTGATGTGTCAAATGGAAGACAGGTTCCATAAAAAGAGGTATTTGGGCTCATGCTGTATTCCCAGCCCCCAGAGTCTTAATAAATGCATAATTATACTCTATAAATCAGTAAACAAATAAATAGTTATACTCTAAATAAAAGACTTTGCCTATATGAGGTGTCCACCAATTTGTATTTGGCATGTATCTGTGATTGAGCAAAGAGCTTTCAGAGACAAAATAAGCATGTGCTTAGATTTGGCATTAAGAACTCTGCCAAATCAAGTACTGAAGGAATCCTTGGGAATGATGGAATGGATGGTTGTAGGGATTATATGTCACAGATGTAACTTGAGCCTACAACCATAAAGAGGCTAAGTCCAGCTATCAGTCTTGGCTGCAAAAAAAAAACCATTGAATTTTGTTCTACATCAGGGCTCTGGAAACAACATATTTTTCCCTCTCTGTCTCTGTGTATCTGTCTGTCTTTGTCTCCTCCCTAACCTAACCCCAACCTTCCTACATCTCCATCACTTTTCCTTTCCCTTCCTTCCCCATTCCCTCCTTCCTTTTTTCTTTCTTCCTTCCTTTCCATCCTTTCCTCCCTCCCTTCTTGTCTCTCTTTCTTTCTTTCTTCTTTCCTTCTTTTCCATTCTCACCTCTTTAATTGAAAATAAAACTTTAGACACTTAGATGCAAAACATTTTTAGCTGATGCCATTAAAATAAGAAACAGAAGACATAAATATGTTACAGATATTTGTCCCTCACAAATAGTTCAGATGATGAAAGATTAATGCAAAGCAATGAGAATAACAGCTCCCTATCTTAGAGCACTGTACTGTTTGTATTTCCAGAGCCTCTAACATATAGGGGTTGTGTAAATTAACTTGACATTAACCATTTAGGCTACAGTTCAGTTCAGTTCACTAGCTCAGTCGTGTCTGACTCTTTGTGGCCCCATGAACCACAGCACAGCAGGCCACCCTGTCCATCACCTACTCCCGGAGTCTACCCAAACCCATGTCATTGAGTCAGTGATGGCATCCAACCATCTCATCCTCTGTCATCCCATCTCCTCCTGCCCTCAATCTTTCAAGCATCAGGGTCTTTTCCAATGAGCCACCTCTTTGCATCAGGTGGCCAAAGTATTGGACCTTCAGCTTCAACATCAGTCCTTCCAATGAACACCCAGGACTGATTTCCTTTAGGATGGACTGGTTGGATCTCCTTGCAGTCTAAGGGAATCTCAAGAGCCTTCTCCAACACCACAGTTCAAAAGCATCAATTCTTCAACGCTTAGCTTTCTTTATAGTCCAATTCCCACATCCACAATGACTACTGGAAAAACCATAGCCTTGACTAGACAGACTTTTGTTGACAAAGTAATGTCTCTGCTTTTTAATATGCTCGCTAGACTGGCCATAACTTTCCTTCCAAGGAGTAAGTGTCTTTTAATTTCATGGCTGCAATCACCACTTGCAGTGATTTTAGAGCCCAGAAAAATAAAGTCAGCCACTGTTTCCACTGTTTCCCCATCTATTTGCCATGAAGTGATGGGACAAGATGCCATAAACTTAGTTTTCTGAATGTTGAGCGTTAAGCCAACTTTTTCACTCTCCTCTTTCACTTTCATCAAGAGGTTATTTGGTTCTTCTTCACTTTCTTCCGTAAGGGTGGTGTCATCTGCATATCTGAGGTTATTGAAATTTCTCCCTGCAATCTTGATTCCAACTTGTGCTTCCTCCAGCCCAGCGTTTCTGATGATATGCTCTGCATATAAGTTAAATAAATAGGACGGCAATATACAGCCTTGACGTACTCCTTTTCCTATTTGGAACCAGTCTGTTGTTCCATGTCCAGTTCTAACTGTTGCTTCCTGACCTGCATACAGATTTCTCAAGAGGCAGGTCAGGTGGCCTGGTATTCCACCAGGCTTGTATTTAGGCTACAAGACCAGAAAATGGGAACATGGATTTAATGATGACATTTTAGTGTCCAGTTCTCTGGCAGGAAAGTGTACAAATGAGCTTAAGGATTAATTTTTATTGACAATTTCAAGGAGATTGATTGATGCAGCATTCAAAACTTAGATTTTCTTCAGCAACATAGTCTTGGTGGTGTCTGTTATAACCCCCCTCCCCCACCCTCCCCCAAAGTAAGTCCTTGTGTGTGGAAATTACAAATAAATATAGTTTCCAGAGCTATAAGTTGTTGGGGGGACAAAGAGGGTGTTGCTGCCACAACTACTTTGGTATCAGTGCAACCTAGGCACAGAAGATCCACATCCAGGGAGGTTATCTGCACGCAGCAATAAAATCCATGTAGGTTGTTATAAAAAAGCTTATCTAGACAAATTAGTCTCTACTCTAAAGGATAAGGCTTCTAATCATAAAGAGAAAGAATAGATAAGAAATGAAATACCCTAAAAAGAGAGAACAACTTTGTAGGCTAAACATTTAGAGAGGTTTCATTTTGAGGCATCAAGATAATATAAGCAATCAGACTTTATAGTGCTGCCTTTGAGCCTCTACAAGGAAGGGTATTGTTACACAGTATGTTAATGAGGAAAAATGTACAGAACTGGGTGCCTAGCTTACAGTTTCTTTTCTACTAAATTTTTGTAATAAATGAAATTTAGAAAATATAAGATAATATTGCAAGATTTATATTATCATGTAGGCTCTCCCTTAAGTACATAAGTGAAGTGAAAGACTCTCAGTCATGCCCGACTCTTTGTGGCCCCATGAACTATACCGCCCATGGAATTCTCCAGGCCAGAATACTGAAGTGGATAACCATTCCCTCTTCCCAACCCAGGGATCAAACCCAGGTCTCCTGCATTGCAGGCAGATTCTTTACCACCTGAGCCACCAGGGAAGCCCTACTTACATTTTCAATTTTTCCATTTTATGTACATCCCTGATTTCTCATGTAGAAAGCTCCATAAAATGTATGCTTGTGCTTAGTCGCTCAGTCGTGTCCGACCATTGTGACCCCATAGGCTGTAGCCTGCCAAGCTCTTCTGTCCATGGAATTCTCCAGGCAAGAATACTGGAGTGGGTTGCCATGCCTGCCTACAAGGGATCTTCCCAACTGAAGGGCTGAACCCAGGTCTCTGGCATTGCAGGCAGATTCTTTACACTATGAGCTCCCAGGAAAGCCCATAAAATGTATACTTCCTTTAAAGGCTTTAAAATAATCATTATAGATTTCTAAAAATAAATGTGCATACTAAATATATATAAATATGTATTATGACAATACTTTTATACACATATATTTATATAATGTATGGTATCATATTCAATATATTGTTATAAACCATAATGGATATTGATATTAAAAGAATATATATATATTATTTTTCATGTATTCATATATTTCATACATCCAATATCTTGTTATAAACCATAACAAAAAATTTTTTAAAAATATATATTCTTTTCCATTATGGTTTATAACAAGATATTTAATATAATCCCTTGTGCTATGCAGTAGGACCTTGTCGTTTATCTATCTTACATATAATAGTTTGTATCTGCTAATCCCCGATTCCCATTCCATCCCTACACCATCACCACATCCCTTTCTCCTGGCAACTAAAAGTCTGTTCTCTATGTCTGTGAATCTTCTTCTGTTCTATAGATAACTTCATTTGTATCATATTTAAAATTCCACATTTAGGTTGTAACATATCAGATTTGTCTTTCTCTTTCTAGTTTACTTCACTTAGTCTGATAATCTCTAGGTCCATCTCAAATTGCTGAAGTGACATTATTTCATTTTTTAGTATGGTTGAGTACTATTCCATTGTATAGATGTACCGTATTTCTTTATGCATTCCTCTGTTGATGGACATGCATGTTGCTACCATGTCTTGGCTACTGTAAATAATGTTGCATGAACGTTGGGGTGTATGCATCTTTCCTAGTTACAGTTTTCTCACTCAGGAAAGGAACCACAGGATCATATAGCAACTCTATTTTTAGTTTTTTGAGGAAGATGCATATTGTTTTCCTTAGTAGGTACACCAATTCACATTCCCATCAACAATGTAAAAGGGTTCCCTTTTCTGAACACCCATTCCATCATTTGTTACTTGTAGAGTTTGTAAATATAGCTATTCTGACTGGTTTGGGGTGGTGCCTACCTTGTATATTTTATTTAAATTATCTAATAATTAGCAATGTTGAATAACTTTTATGTGCCTGTTGGCCATCTGTATGTTTTGGAGAAATGTCTATTTAGATCTTTCGCCCAATTTTTGATGAACTTTTTTTTTTTTTAATTGTATGAGCTGTTTGTATATTTTGGAAGTTAAGTTCTCATTGGCCACCTGGTTTGCAAATTTTTTTTTTCTCAGCCTGCAGGCTGTCTTTTTTATTTATTTATGGTTTTCTTTGCTGTACAAGAGCTTATAAATTTGATTAGGTCCCATTTGTTTATTTTTGCTTTTATTTCTATTACTTTGGGAGACTGAAGAAGACATTGGCATGATTTACACGTTTTGCCTATGTTTTCTTTAAGAGTTTTGTGGTGTCATGTCTTACATTCATTCTTTAAGTCCTTGCATTCAATTTTAATTACAGATTTTGTGATCAAATATTTTTACTCAAATATTTTGTATAGAAACTTGAACCCAGACTGTTCCCTGATTTCATGGTTAACAATTCAGCCCTAAGTCAAAACAAAGCAAAATATAATTGAATGGTTTTCTACATTCCACACTACAAGTCATTAAAATTTAATGATGCCATTTGTTTTAATGTTTCCTAGGCAATTCAAGGGGCTTCCTAGGTGGCACTAGTGGTAAAGAACCCACCTGCAATGCAGGAGACTTGAATTTGATTCCTAGGTTGAGAAGATCCCCTGGAAGAGGGCATGACAGCACACTCCAGTATTCTTGCCTGGAGAATCTCATGGACAGAGGAGCCTGGTGGGCCACAGTCCATAGGGTCACAAAAAGTCAGACATGACTGAAGCGAATTACCATGTACACGCAATTTGTTAGTTGGAATTCATAGATTTTTAATTGTTCATCACTTAATATAGTCAGTTCAGTCAGTTCAGTTGCTCAGTCGTATCTGACTCTTTACAACCCCATGAATCACAGCACGCCAGGCCTCCCTGTCCATCACAAACTCCCGGAGTTTACTCAAACTCATGCCCATCGAGTCGGTGATGCCATCCAGCCATCTCATCCTCTGTTGTCCCCTTCTCCTCCTGCCCTCAATCTTTCCCAGCATCAGGGTCTTCTCCAATGAGTCAGCTCTTCGCATGAGGTGGCCAAAATACTGGAGTTTCAGCTTCAGCATCAGTCCTTCCAATGAACACCCAGGATTTATCTCCTTTAGGATGAACTGGTTGGATCTCCTTTCAGTCCAAGGGACTCTCAAAGGTCTTCTCCAACACCACAGTTCAAAAGCATCAATTCTTTGGTGCGCAGCTTTCTTCACAGTCCAACTCTCACATCCATACATGACCACTGGAAAAACCATAGCCTTGACCAGACGGACCTTTGTTGGTAAAGTAATGTCTCTGCTTTTTAATATCTAGGTTGGTCATAACTTTCCTTCCAAGGAGTAGGCGTCCTTTAATTTCATGGCTGCAGTCACCATCTGCAGTGATTTTGGAGCCCAGAAAAATAAAGTCTGACACTGTTCCCACTCTCTCCCCATCTATTTCCCATGAGGTGATGGGACCAGATGTCATGATCTTAGTTTTCTGAATGTTAAGCTTTAAGCCAACTTTTTCACTCTCCTCTTTCACTCTCACTTAATGCAAAACCTCCCATATTTCATCATAACATGCAGTTTTGATATGTTTGACACAATCAGATGACTATTAAAAGAATATTACAACTTCAAGATACTTTTTTCTTATGAAAAGATTAGTTTGAGCTACAGAATAAGTAATTGATTATGTAGATAGTGAAGCAACTATATAAAGATAAAAACAGCATGCAATTAATATTTCCCCTTGGCAAACTCACTAGAGATTGACAAGGGCTCAAACTTGTCTTCTGAATGTCACTTGCAATTTTTTTCATTTTTCTTTTGCAAAGAAAATGCTAAAGAATATTTTTATTGTTAATGCTTATATATTTTAAAGTCTTTTTTAAAATATTATGATTAATCCAATTTGTCTACATGAATAGACTAAATGGTGCAGCTTATTCAAAACATTTTTCTTAGCTCTAGGGCCTAGATCTGAAACATTATTTAGATTGGAACTAATGAAATTATCCTTATCTGAAAGCTTGAAGAGAGATAAGGAGGGAAATGTCAATTCTGTTATTACTATGGGGCAACAAGTCACAGCACTCAACACATAATCAAAGGAAACATTTCAAATGATTTTCGTAGACTAATTAAAAGTTCAATTAAGAAGACTAGAATGGTCTTCACTAATGAACTTCTTTTATAAAAGACACATTTTAACAGATTAAGTTTTGCTCTGAAAAAAAAAAAAATATATATATATATAATTAAGCATTGAAATTCCAGTAGAAGTCCATTTGCCATTGAAGTGCTCTTCACAGCATTTTTTTTTACTTCAATGCTACATCCAAAAATCATGTGGATAATGATCTAGAGCCTAGAGCAGGCTATGAGCTTCCTTTGGAGGGAAACTCTGTGATGATTTATACTGTAGAACCATAATCCACCTTATGTTCAGTGTCTGTGCTTTGCTCTGGAAGGGGTTGTCTGGTTTGGGGACATAATGGTTACCTGTGGAGCCTCTGATATAACCAAAAAGTATTTTTTCAAAACAATTCCCTCCTGTAGAGGTCTTTTCAAACAGGCAGCATGCTTTGTTATCCACCATCTGATCTGATTTTCATATTATTTCTAGGAGTTAAAGAGGGCAGCTGTTGCTGTTCTTTATATGCAAATACAACCACCACCATGTGTGTAAAACAAGTGCTACAGCCCAGGTGATGCCGAAAACTTGGCCTTTGTGCACCTGTGCTGAATTGATTCATAGAGTTCTGGATGTTGTAAAGAAGAATACATAAGAATAAATAAGAAAATAAAATAAGAATACATTTTATTGCCTTGCCAGGTGAAGGGAGACGCAGTGGGCTCATGCCATGGAAAACTCTCTGTCCCAGTCCAGGGTGGGGGCAATTTGGTGAGGAGTTTTATAGCAGTGGTTCAAGAGTATGGTTGTTGATAATGGTCAGAGTGTGTGCAGGGCTTACACTCCTTTAATCTGGCCTCAGATGACCTCCCCTGAGTTTCTGTGCTTTATATATATATATTTAATTGAAGGATAATTGCTTTACAGAATTATGCTGGTTTCTGATGAACATCAACATGAACCAGCCATAGTATACATGTATCCACTCCCTCTTGAAACTCCCTCCTGTATCCCTCCCCATCTCACCCTTCTACATTGTTACAGAGCCCTGAGTTTGAGTTCTCTGAGTCATGTAGCAAATTCCCTTTGGTTACCTATTTTACATATAGTAATGTGTTTCCATATTGCTCTCTCCATACATCCCATCCTCTCCTTCCTGTCCCCTTGACCTGTATCCATAAGTATGTTCTCTATTGTATATGTCTCCATGGCTGCCCTGCAAATAAATTCATCAGTACCATCATTCTAGATTCCATATATAGGTGTTGGCCTATGATATTCACTCTGTATAGTAGATTCTAGGTTCATCCACCTCATTAGAAATTGACTCAAATGCATTCCTTTTTATGGCTGAGAAATATTCCACTGTATATATGTGTCATGGCTTCTTTATCAATTCATCTGTCAATGGACATCTAGGTTGCTTCCATATTCTAGATATTGTAAATAATGCTGCAATGAACATTGGGGTACATGTTTTTGTTTTTTTGTTTTTTTTTTTTTCTTTCAATTTTGGTTTCCTCAGGGTATATGTCTCATAGTGGGTTTGCCAGGTCATATGATGGATTTATTCCTAGTTTTTGAAGGGAT